GGGTGTGTGTTTGATGCGCATTGTGCGTGCATGCGCAGTGCAATAAAAATTGTTCTGCACATGCGCAGAACTGAAAAACAAGATGGCGCCAATCAGAGATCTGGTTCGGGGGTGTTGCAGGCCTGGGTCACTGCTGGTTCCAGAGACCCAGGCCGTCAAACCACTACCGGTTTGGCTGAACCGGTCCGAATCAGGAGGAACCCACCACTGGTCTGGAGAGTAAGAAAAACCAGCCAGTCTTGGACCAGATAACGGTTGACCGCATAGAGGTAGGCAGAGATAGTGAAGGAATGCAAAAGGCTTTCAGCAGTTCCAAGAAGGCTCCACACCCTTTTGCGCTACTCAGGTAACGCTGAGGACACAGACAAAAACTCCCAGTGGCCTCCCTGACTCTCTAAAAGGATGCAAATGACCAGCTGTTTGCAAAGAATATAAATCTTTCCCTTCCTCACTATCCTGTCCAAGATGAAGAAGCTTCTTGGATGAGAAGCAAATGTCTTCAAAAGAAAAAAAAAAACAAGAACGTCCAGTAGCTGTCTGAAAAAACACCTTTGGGACAACCATGACCTGGATGACTGAGAATCTCTACAGGTTTTTAGCTATGCCATTTGGGATGAACACCCTTGGAATGGTGTGGAAGTAGGAATAGATTTCCAGAGGAAAAAAGGGCAGACTACAGGCACCATTAACACCACTCAGGTGACCCCTGAGGACACAGACAAAACTCCCAGTGGCCTCCACGACTCTCTAAAAGGATGCAAATGACCAGCGGTCTGCAAGGAGTATAAATCTTTCCATTCCCTACCATCCGGTCAGAGCTGAAGAAGCTTCTTGGATGAGAAGTGAAACAGCTTCAGAGAATAACAAGAAAGTCCAGTTGCACCTTGAAAAAAAAGCGCCTTTGGGAAAGCATGGCATGTTTTTAGAAAACGTCTGCCATGATGTTCACGGTCAGTCATAAGATACCCAGAAGGCACATTGAGATTGTTCTTCTCTACCTCTTCTAGCTTTGCAACTTTTTTTCGGTATTCTTTATTTACCTCTATTGGTTTTTCTAAAGGACACCTTCAAAAACACCGATGGACTCAATATTAGCTATTATTATTATGATTGGTTGTATAGTCTCCAGAAATTTAGACTGGACTTGGCATTTTTGTCCACCTATCAAGTCCTTCCCAAGGATCTAGGATAGTCTGATTTTGTTTAACAATACTAATATTATTATATGCGCTGGCAATCTACAGTTAGCTTTTTAGTCGAAGACTGGTGTAAACTTATTAATTCAAGTCCTAATCAAAGATCTAAGATATTATCGTTGGTTGAACAGATATTTACACTGGATAGCCTAGACTGGATTTGAGCAGCACAATGGCCTATTGGTAAAGATGCTCGCCTTCCACTCAGAAGGTTAAGAGTTCAATCCTAGCTAGCAGCGCATACTTCTCTCCTAGAGTGCAAAGAAAAAAAATATTTGCTGTGAACTCCACATAGGTGTCAGGAAGGGGAGCCGGCCAGTAAACCCTCAGCTCCATCCAGTCGACCCAACTCTATGGGATTACAGGGTTGTAAGAGGGAGGGTTTTTTTTTTTTAGTCTAGACTGGATTTGGCATTTGTATCCACCTGTTGTACCTGGGAGAGGCAGATGTTCCTGTTTGATGGTGTTAAAGATATTGCAGGGTGTATTGTTATCATTATTCTTTTCTAATAATAGACAATACAGGACCCAGATGATGTTTTGTTAATATGAATGACAAGTTTTCATTTATCTATAAAATTTACAATAATTTATCTATAAAATCAAAATAACATCAGATGAGATACTGACCTAACAGTACTAGAGGACAGCCCACTGGTGATCATGAAACAGAAACAGTCATTTTTTCCCCAAACACCTTCTCTAAAAGTCTATTTGCACAAAGGATAGTCCTCATTTAACGGCTGTTTATAGTTACAGTGCGTGCATTTAGTCTGGCAAGGCAGCTCTGGGAAGGGAAGGGGACAGGGTTGAAATCAACTTACCTTCGCTACCGGTTCGCAAACGTGAGCGCACGCGCTACCTACGGGCATCCACAGGACGTTCTATTTCCGACGATCAGCTGTGACGCACAATTTAAATTAGCTAGAAAGCAGGAAATCCGACAATTCTAGGTAATATAAATTGCGCTTCACAGCTGATTGCTGGAAATACTGGTTCGCCCAAACTGGTAGGATTTTTTAAATACCGGTTCAGGCAAACCGGTAGTCTTTTTGCTACCAGTTTGAGCGAAGCAGTCCAAGCCAGCAGCATTTCACCTCTGGAGGGGGGCCTTGGTGACACTGCAATCGAAGCCAGCTTGCTCACCTGTGGCCCACCTTGAGAAGTGCGCAGGTGTTTCCTCTAATAGGACTGGTACCTTGGCGAGCCAAATTACTACTGCACAATAACATTATGGTCTCCTGGCTACTCTAACAATGCCATATGTTGATAATAATAATAATATATACTCAGATGTTACCTTAACAGCTCTTAGATCCTTGGCTAAGACTTGAACTGTTAAGTTTTTACCAGTCCCAGACTGTGAATAGTATATGTCAGCAAAATTAAAACTGTGGCTTCGGGGACTCATTTCTAACTGACACAAGGACACAGGAATTTCACTCACAAGTATCTGAAAACAAAGCTCTCTTGAGCTCTCTTCTGGGAAGGAATAAACCTTACAGTGGCAACTATAAAAAGAACACTCTCTGATGGGAACTAAGTTCGCACATGTTGTTTCAGGGGAAATATTTGCCCGGGACTCACCTATGCGAAAGGGAAGGTTTCATGGAGTTCATGGGTGCTTGCATGGGCAGCTTCCCCGGAGGGTCGTTTTGCCGGCTTTTCTGGTGACGTAGCAACAAGAGTCGTCCAAGTTCTTCACACCACGATGAAAGCAGCGCTGGGGAAAAGAAGGGAAAAAGAAAGAGGTCAGAAGGAAATACATAGTAGTTTAGGGAGCTTGTCTATCAGAAAGATTGACAGTTCGGCAGTTCGAATCCCTAGCACTACATAACGGAGTGAGCTCCCATTACTTGTCCCAGCTTCTGCCAACCTAGCAGTTCGAAAGCATGTAAAAATGCAAGTAGAAAAATAGGGACCACCTTTGGTGG